GAAAGCCACCAGACTAATCAGTAATTAAAACATGCATTAAATAAAATCAGTTTTTAATGCTTGCATGGACTGTGGCCACTCTGATGCCATGCAGGTCTGAAAGACTGGATCAATCTAGAGAATACTTGACACATACCTCATTTACAGGAAGTCTGGCATATACTTTTGAAAACAAGCATAGAAGAGTTAAACATAAAGAAAAGGGCAATTTTCAGACTCCTGATTCTGATTCCTGGCTAGAGCTGAGTCTAAGCCCAAGAGATTTTGTATACAGAGAAGTTTTTTTCTTCCCTCTGTGCACAGCAGTAAGAACTAGTGAAAAAGACTATGAACGCACTGCAGTAGATGATCATCTCTTCTGTATATTTCACAACAGTCTATGACCCAAATTGGAGCAGAGGGTCTCAGGATTCCTGAGTCTTAATTCTGTCACAGTAGCAGCATCACTAATCACTTGGCAAATCTAGTTTGAAGTGCACTACAGGACTGTGCATTCAGTTTGCTTCAGTCATGTGATGTAAAATAATTTCAGTAGAAATGCTGAGGTGAGAAAGAATAATTTCTATGGTGGGGAAAAAAACCCCCACAAACCAAAACCAAAACAAAGAATGTGTCAGATTTCTCATTTGAGCTTGTGAACTTAGAGAACAGTGTCTGACCATTATTAATATGATGCTCCCATCATTGTCCAGTCCTGTGTAAATATAAACGTTTATGATGCCCCAGTTTTCCAAACTGTAAGTAACCGTAAGTTGACATTTTAAGGAATTGCACCAAGCAAAATCAAACTGCCATAAAGTTCATGTGCGGCACTAATTGTAATTTAACTGCATGGTTATTACAAGAGCTTTTAATTAACCCAGTCATCATACTGTGGCATACAAATTGTGCATAATAGCAGTGTGCTGAGTATAATGACAATAGGTTTTTCTGAACTGTGAAAATCAGGAGTTTTATCATTTTCTGATGTTTCTTTTTATGTCCTTAAATATTGTGCGGCACTTAAGAACATTTCACCAAAGGAAAAAAAAATAAGTTGCTGAGGCTTGTCTATTTTAAAATTTTATAGCAGTCTTTAATTCTTCCTGAAATTCAGTGAGATGTGTAATTCTTTCCTGAATAATATTTCTGGTGATTTTTCAGTCTCACTTTTCTCAGGGTATTTTTGATCCCCTTTGAGGATCATTTTCCACACTCTTCAGTGATTTGGTTTCTGAAGCCAAAAAAATCCACTCAGTTTGTGGAAACATTTAGAAGGGATACCATTCTAGTGAAACTGGAAGATAGTAAGAAAGCATTCTGCTCAGATATTGATACAAAATTGTAATTTCTTAGTTCATTCCCCTTCTCTTAAAGTTATGATTCCAGTCTGTCTCTCTCAAGACTAGCAATAATAGCACTACATGAATTTTTACTTGGAAAGTTAATTTTTCAGCCCAAAGACTAAAAATTAAGAAACAATGTAGCTAATAGTTGTAGTCCTTCAGAAAACAGAGGAAATACAACTAGGTGGTGTTACATTTACCCCATGTACTCATTCCTCGAGATACAAAGAATGCATAAAAAAAAAAAAAAGAAGCAGACATGATTATGGAAACTGTATTCATCTCTTTATTAGACTATCGTCATCCCTGTACTGGGAAACAGAATGTTGAAATATTTTGGTTATTAATTATTTGGCTCACAGACAGAACAGGCACCTGAAGGCAAGATAAGAGTATATGACCATTTCATGTACACAAGTTTACTGAAGAAACCAGGTGGTACTGAAGACTAGGCTAGTGTGGGAGGCAAAAGTCATGCACACACAGTTAATGGTTTAAACATTACATAGAAGTGAAAGACACTACTGAACAGTTAAAAAAACCCAGGTTGGGTTCAGCTGGGTGAGCCATAAATGCATGACGTATCAAACACACAAAGAAGAACCAACACAGTTGGTCAGTCAGTGGTGCCTGGGATTTGAACATCAGAGATATGAGAAAGATAATGGAGAGGATGACATTACCATTGTACAGGCTGAAGTAGCTCATTCTTAACAAAGTATGTCTGAATAAGTAAGTGACTCTCCTAAAGATTGGTAAGCTAACTTTGTGCTGTTGCTGTTATTAACAGAACTGAGTTCTCAGCAGTATGGTTACTGTCATGCATATCTTTGTGAGAATGGCAGAGGTGTATGTGGTGCTGTGCAAATGCTTTTTAGTAGAATTTTCAAACAGTGAGAAAAAATCTTAAGTTCTTAAAAAGACATTTCAGATAATTACTGGCTTTTAATGTTATTTTTATATATAAAGTTTACCCAAGATTAATTTTGAAGAAAGATTTTATATTTGGAACTAAGGTTTGTATTTACATGTATCAGTGAATGCAAATTTCCTAGTATTGCACAATGCATTTCTGGAGGCATTGACTCAAAGAGAACAGAGAGAAAAGCTGTTAGACAGTACTTTGAAAAAACTGTTTATATGTATAACACATATAAAACAAGTATCATGCGTATTCCAAGGCACTAGGACTGTAAAAATTGGGGGTTTTTTGTTCCTATTAGAGTAAAATATAACAAGACTTTATTGTAAATTCAGGAAATATAGATAACTGTGGATTCTCTTGTTTTCCTAGGGAAGCCGAATGTATATAGGGGGGTTTCAGTTTATTGTAACTTGAGGCAATTTATTTATTTATTTATTTATTTATTTATTTTATTTTTTCCCCTTGACCTGAAGAACTGGTACTCATCTGTTTAGGGGCCCTATTAGCCTGTGAGTCATCTCTACCCTATTTCTCCTTCCCTTATAGGCTCCCACCCTGCAGTCAGTCTCTGTGTGTGTCTGGACAGCAAAGGTGGCTTGTTCAGATAGGCAAGGCACCTAAGACCTACAACAACCTACACACCTAATCCATGCCTGTCGTGAGACAGAGTCTCCTTCCCATCTTGATGTGACTCTCACTCTCTGTTAACCCCTTATTTTTATTGTTGGTAAGACACATTAGTTAAAGTGTATGGCAAGCTGGAACTGAGACAATCAATCAGTTGCTTTGTCATAAAAGCTGATCATAAGCATAAAGCTCCCTGCGTCACATCAACGAGAATAACAGAATATGAGAAAAGTGAGACAAGTAAAAGGATGAAAATATTTTGTGCCTTTGGTATATCTGCATTATATTAGTGTAGACTGGCTGATGGGATAGGCTGCTGCAGAGGCTGGCAAAGTGCAGCACTGAAGGAGAAAACTCACATAAGGATGGATGAAGCCTAGAAAAAGTGTAGAGGCTTAAAGGGGGGGAAATGAGAGTCCAGTTAAGCTATGAGAGTCCAGTGTGCTATAATGTGCTCTGAAGAAGAGCTAATGGGGAAAATAGTGTGAGGGCGGTTGGAAACGGAATTTGCGGACAAGGACAAATGTAGTAAGATGCTGCCCAAAGAGACACTGCTTCTGATAAGAAATGGTGAAATTAATACTTTAAGGGTTGTTTAAAGTGTAATCCCTTGAAGGACATTAGTCATATGTCCAGAGACGATTCTCTTGCAGGTAAATTCATGCATCTCATTTGAAGGGGATTCAAGCTATAACTTGGCTGCCTGAGTTAAGACATGTGAGCCACAGCCCAAAAGGACTGTTCAGTTTTGACTTTACTCTTGCTTTCAATATTCGTGTGTAGCAATAATGCTGATTCTTCTTCTTTTCACTGGCCTAAGCAAGTACCTTCAATGAGTCTTACATTATCACCTCTTACACCATGCATAACAAGAAACTCATCAAAATTAGATGTGTTTATTCTATTTTAAATATTAAATGTATTTCTTAATTAACACTACAGCAGTTCTTAGTTGGAAAGATGGTCCCTGAGACTTGTACTTCTCTCTTTTATGTGTGATGATAACTTGAAAATGAGATTTACTTGCTTTCTCTGTTCCTACATGTGGGGATATTAAATGCAAAAGGAAACAATAATCCTTGCTGTATAACATACACACTCTTTCCTCCTTCTCATGGTAGCTTCAAAAATTGTATCCCTGTCTTAGAGCCAACAGCGATCTCCTCTCTCCCTTTTTCCTTTAAGAAAGTTGACCACCTGTTGAAACCAACTTTTCGTAAATCACATGCAGTGTTAGTTTTTCACCAGTGCCTGTGTGCTAGCTTACACAAAATACATGCTGTTCAGTCTGCTTAATATCTTGTCTGATATGATTCCCAGCATGAACTATCTCTTACTTAATAAATATACATGGCCCTAATTATTTTTATTCGGTGTCTAGGAAAAGTAATGGGCTATAAACACAATTTGATATCCTCTATCATACAAAATGCTCAGTATCACATTTTACAAAGAAGAAAATGGGAGTTCATGTGAACTTGTATCTACTGACATCCAGATCATAAAGCCAGACATGAAATGCCTTGATATTTTCAACATCTATGGTCCAAATCATTAAACTTACATCTTGGATCATTAAATGAACATGTTGCAGTGTTGTAATGCAAGTTTCCACTATGCTCACTATTCACTATATGCTCTGTGTAACTCTGCTGAACATGCCATAATAATTTATCAACCTTGAAAGAAATCACGAAGTTCAATGCATATTAAAAATGTCATTGGGATATATCACAGAAAAAATGGAAATATGCTGCTGTTCACAACACATCATATTCTCTGAGGTTACTGTTAATGTCTGCATAGCAATACACTTCCCTTATGGAAATTAAAAAGCCACGATCAATAAAATACATGTGGTGACTTTCTTATACACCTGGTATTCCTTAAAAATGAGTGCCTTTATTATTTTTTTCCTACTATAAAATGACTTATTTTGTGTTTGCTCATTCATTACGGATATAGTGTTGAGAAGTATTATAATTAATGATGGTTTTCTTAGCTTAATGCCTACAGATCTTTCTCTCTGTTATTAAAATGGTTTTAAACTGAATTGAGAAATACATAATAATTATTGTTTACATGTGTTCTTTCATTCTTCTTGTGGCTTTTTTTCCGTTTAGGTGAAAAAGTTCTGTGGTCCTCCTGTAAGGAAGCCTACACACTCTCCAGGTTGCTCCTTTGATCAGAACAAAGATAATCAAGGGTTGAAGATGTTCTCAAGAGACAGTGAAGAAATGCTCACCAACAGAAGAAAGTAAGACATTAGTTTTACAACCAGAAAGAAAGACTAAAGTAAGCCATTAATTTTACAACAGAATAGAGTATATTCAATGCAATGGCATGCATTACTAGATAATAAAGACTCCAAAGAATGAAACATTTCAGCACTGTTTATTCTGTTACATTTTGGATTGAGTAATTTTATGACTAAATTTTGTTTTCTGAAATAATGGACATATGACCAGAGTCATTTGGTGTGGTTTAAAGTATTTGAGTGGATAACGCTGGTAGAATATGAATGTTAGCTCTATCTTTATGTGTAATTATTCAAATTACTTTTAACTTTGCGCATCAACAGGCAATATTAAAACTGACAAAACCTGACTGTAGCTTTTTATAGAAGACTATTTGTACAAGTTGATAACACAGAAAAAAAAGGCTTTTCTTACATACTTTTCTAGTTTAAAAACCGAGACAACTAAGCATCTGGAACTAAATCTCGAAAGTCCTGTTCAAGCAAGGCCTGTTAGTTTTTTTCTCTGGCTCTTTTGCCAATATATAGTGAATTGAGGTGACTACAAAGGCTTGGAGAATTCATTTAGTGTCTCAGCACCGCAGGGTGAAATTTGCCTAACGGCTTACGAGTTAAATGTTTAAGCTGCTGTTATAGTCTGTGGAAATGAGAACTCATTTCAGCTGCCCACGCATCTACAAGCATCCAATGCTACTCAAGGATATGCTGGGGTATCCCAGCTAAGCTACTCGTGCCAAGAAGGGTGCAGGGGTACTGTAAGTTGTTTCATACCTTCCAGCTTTCTGCAGGTATCCTGCATAGCTGAAAGCATCTCAAAGGCCAGTTTGTATTTAGACAAGTGAATCAAGTTTTTTGATGACTGTAAGCAGTAATAGCACTGTAAGATGTAAGGATAGTGTTGCAGTCAGACTATTTATTTTACACAAATAAACTTCAAAGTTAAAATCAGAAATTTCATTTCTGTCACAGTGTTTGCTAAAATACAGAGTTTTCTTTGTCCTCTTTCTCCTCTCATTTTGTTTTGCAGTACAGAAACAGAAGTGAGAAAATTGCAGGGAATCATTGCTCACTCTTGATGTCTGGATAAAAAAAAGGAGCCTCTGAGCTTCAAAGGCAGACCATTCTTGTTAGTGTAACAACTCTCATGTAGCAAACAGTGGAGAAAAAACCCCAAACCAAAATACATAGCACAAGTTTTGGAAAACATTATGGGAACAGAAAGAGAAGTTTGCTTTAGCCAGAACAGAAGTTCATTAGGGAATACCCCTTATACAGTCACATGTTTCTCAGTTATATGTAGGTAAGCAAGTTCTTGATGTTTTCTGATCACTAACACTCTGCAAACATGAAACCATGTTCTAAAATGTCACTTAAACCAAGATTCAACACTGGACTGACTTTAAGGGAGATTGCCTGAGAGACCGTAAGGGGCAGGAGAAGACAGGTGGCAACAAAAAAGCAACATTGTTTTCCCTTGATATCTGCCTGCCTTGAGATTCTGGAGACCCTTTATGGCATGCCACAGGCTTTGCACCAGAAAGGAGGAAGGGAAAGAAAGTTTGAGATCTACTGAGGCAGATATAATTTTAACAGCTTCATAGTTGATATCACCTGCAGTTACTGCCTCCTGAATCACCTCCTTCCTTATTAGTCACAATCACTTTATATTTCACTTTATATTCCCATGGCAACTGTAAGAACCTCACATGGAAGAGAGATTTCAGCAAATTCTCGCAGCATGCTTTTAAGGAAGTGCTCTTCTCTAGCTCCACCTTATTTACTGCCTCTGTACTTCTGGCAACAGCTTGCTCTCAGCAACTTTCACAGGCTTTAGGAGAAAAGAATACGCTTCTCCAAACTGGAGACTTTATCAATGACAGTTATCTGAGGGAAAACAAATGAATGAAAAAATTGCATTAAATATGTGACTCCTGATTTCCTAATGTTTTTCAATTGCATCTCCAGATGAAAGTACATGATGGACTGCTTCTGCCTGAACTTTTCCTCAATTATTTTTACCATTGGACCTAAGCTGGTATTTTCTGCTACTGTGTGGTACAAGAAGAAAAAGAAATTTTTCTGTGCTTTTCATGCCAAAAAATTTCTAGAGGAATTTTAAAAAAAGCTAAGCAGACCCTTCCATAGCAACATACAAACTTGAAAGTGTGTAATGCTTTTTCCTCAGAACTTCATATTGCAGACAGCTTTTAGCACAGAGAATGAGGAAAAAAAAGAAAAAAGAACATTTCCAAATATAAAAAGATAAAAAAAAACCCAGATAAAAAGTATCTTCAGCTTCCACTGACTGTAATTGCACATTTGTGCTCAGCTGCCTATAATCACATGCTATCTGGTCTCGAAGATGATGATGTGAAAATTGACATTCATACCATCTGCCCTTCTAACTACTTCGGTCAGACATCAGTGGGGGCTGAAATCAGTTATTACTTCTCTATTAACTTTAGCTTTGCCTCAGATTGTATTTACTAATAAACTGAATGACCTTTCTGTTAAAATGCAGTTTGTGACAAAATATTATGCCAGCTATATTTATTTATTTCTGTTTCTTCAAAAGAAGAAATTCCAACTATTCACTTTGTGAGGACTCTAAACACTAGTTTTCATCTTGAATGTAAATGTAAAGCATAGACAAAACTGAAATCAGTCCCATTCAATGGAAATTGTAGGGAAATTGCAAACATACTGTGCATACTGGATTCAGTTTTGGGTGTGGATAAATAAAAAATGTGACTATTCATGGCTAGGAGAGTGTGGACGAGTCATATTTACGTATTTAAAATCTATTGCACATAGGCAATCATATGATACATAGTCAAAATTGACCATACATGAGATTTTTCATAACTGTAGTTTTAGAATTAGTAAAGCACTCACATCACATTTAATAGGCATAGTAAATCATATTTCTGTAAAATATTTGCCGTATGACATGAAAGAACATATGGCTTTTTAAAATGATGAACTGTCTGTAATCACTGATGTTTTATCTGTTTTAATTTGAAGTAAACAATACTTAATTTAATTCCTTATACCATTTTAGGTCTACATTGACACAATTTGGAGAAATACGTAGATTATTTCTGGCATTTTTTCACAACTCCAGATTCTATACAAGAAGTTAGCATAAAGTGAAGCTTACTGGATTGCAGAGCAATGAGTACAGCATTTGGCGGTGCTTTTCTGCACTCAGTAAAGTGTGATGTTCTACACCAAAATGAATAAATATTTCAATTTTTCACAGCAGAAAAGGGTGTCACAGGAAGAAATTTTCAATACATAAGCAAACAATTTATATAAAATATCACATTTCAGTTAAGAACATACTAACTAAAAAGTAATTAATTTGTTTTGAAGTAAGTACAAAACCTTATCATTAGCTCTCGGCATCTTGACAATTATTTAAAATAACAATACATAATTTATAACGTACCAGTACAGCACATGGTGGAACTGATGTAATCTTTCAGACAGTTATTTAAATCTCCACTAAATATTTAACAACTTCATCTTACCCATCTTACCTAAATCTTGAGTCGCTGCATAACTCTTAACAAATATTTGTTGTAGTATCTGTAAAGATGTGTAGGGGACTAGTTGATAGCTCTTGTGAAAAAGAGGTGACTTATTCATATGCACCTATTTTTTTTTTGCTGCTTTATTTTTATTTTTACTTGTTGCTTTTTTTTTGGAACATTTTTTCATTTATTGGTCCATTACAAACAGTATCACAACTATGCAAAAAAATTTCAGTTGAAGGAAAATAGTTCCTGTTCCAGAGCATGAGTAAAGTAGGTGTTTTGTTTTTTTTATTTGACGAGTGGGAATATCAACTTTGTAAACTATGAAAGTGTATCTGAAACAATCAAGCTTATCTAACAGGAAATTGACAAATTGATTTAAAATATCACTGGAACCAGTGGAGAGTAATGGAATAAGCACATTCCTTTTTTTCTTGTGTAAATGCACAACAGTAATGTTGTTGGTTGACACTGCCTATTATTTCTCGTGTTCCCCTGTGCAGGGAATTTATCAGCCACCTCCGGCTCTACAGAGCCTTTTATGGTGGCCTGGCTGACCAGATGTGCAGTAATGAGTTGGCAGCTGCAGATGGACTCCCATGTTGGAATGGAGAAGATGTCGTAAAAAGGTACCTTTCTGACTCTTGTCTGTTTTTCTTTTGTAAGTCATGTTTCTCTAAACTAGCTTCCATTTGAGTAGTTTCCCTCTGTCAATGTCAAGATTAGTTCTAAAAATAAATCAGCATGGGTTTCCTTCTCTCAGGCTTCACCTGTAAACAGTAAACAAAATCTCTCTGCATCTGTGTTTGAGAAAAAAAAAGAATTCTACTGTTCTTCAGACTTTTTCCCTTCAAATTTATAGCACCTAAATATACACTGGAAAAGAAGCTAGATTGGCATTTACAAAATACAGTTAGAGAAAAAGGATATGGATTTTTGTTTCATCTTGATCTTTTTAAAATGCTCCTTTTAATGCAGAATGTGTGATAACAGACTCAAGCTTAAAACTTTTTCTGGAAGCGAAGAAGAACAAAGTAATCTCTTCTCAAGAGAGAGCTAAAAGTTAAAAGATGAAGACACATTTTAAAGGTGAAACACATGTAATTTTTTATGTATGCAGCCGCTTGGCAGACATCACTCAGCAGCAATGGTAAAGAGATAATAAACTGCTATGCTCCTGGATGTGTACCTCTGGAATCATAGCTTATAAAATGCTAGCATTTCTGGATGGCAGAAGGACTTTCAGAGAGCTGATGTCTATGTTTTTGCTTTATTGCTTTGATCACCAAAACAAATATTTCTATGAGTGGGAAGTCGTTGTGATGACAAAGATCAAAATATTGAAAGGTTTATTGCAATTATTTTTATTCAAAATCATTATGTTAATGTGACATTAGTGGTATTAATAGGTAGTATCAAAGGTCTTATCAAAGAAGGTGGGTAAAGGCTGTGAGGTGAGTTAGTAGTGTGAGATAGCAGGTACCAAGTAGAAGGAACAGTGGGCAGCCTGCACCTTTAGGTATCTCAAAAAGTTAGGTAGGAACTGTCACTTATTTATTGGTATCTAAGGAAATGGGCATCCTTTCAGCAAACATCTACAGGCCTACTTTTCTTTATCTTCTTGGGCAGTGCAGTGCTTCGGCAGCACCAAGGCCCAGTGAGCGTTTGACCCCCTTAGTCTCATTGGCAACCTTGGTCCAAAGATTTCAGCAATTGTTGGATCCACCTAAAGATATAACAGGGGACAGAAGCACTGTATCTTAAAAGTAAGGCCACTTTGATATAAGTTTAATTTATAAATTTCCTTACGAAAATATTTTTTATTCATATATATGTATTAATGTATCTATATTTATATTTTGTCAGTAAATGTTAGTGTTAGCTTCCTGAAGATCTGAGATGTAGATAATACTTAGAAGTAAAGAATGATGATTAAAACCAGAAGAGCAGGATACTCGGACACCTGCAGATTATTTCCTACATCTCAATACCTCTGCTTGTACACACATAGCGGTACACATTCTTCTGTTTCAGTAGCTATATGAAGGTGCTCAGATCTTTCCTCTTGCACCCTTTCTTTTTACCTTCTTATTCAGTAAAAATGCCCTTTGTTCAATGTTATTTGTTTATTTGTTCTTCTGTAATGGAAGGGGGAAAAACTTCTAAGGTAAGGAGTTTTTTACTATTATTACTATTACAGAAGTGATGATCTAGGCAAAAAATAGGTAGTCTTTTCTTTTTGTGTTTAGGCACATCTGTGTGCCTTCTATGAAAGTAAGGCATATGTGACACAAGCCTATGGGAGAGGAGCACATATGGTGGGTGTACAGTGTCTGGAGATTTCTCTTGGCTATGAAAAATCAAACTCAGGATTAGAAACACAAACAAACAAATTCTGCAAACTTGGAAACAAGGAAGTTGTGTTTGAGCAAAAAAGTCTCCTGATCTGCCCCACAGATTGTGAAATGACATTTGTAATTGATTGATTGTATCAATCAATGAGCTAAGAGGTCTAATGAGGGATGACTAACATCAGAGGTGGTTGTGGTTGGGGATATTGTGAAGGGAAATGAAGATATCAGGCTTTGGGAGTGTGGACTGGAGGCTGTGAACCTAAGCACTGTGTGGGCAAACCAGATTGAAAGGGACTAGTAACATGCAAAAAAACCCAAGGTAAGCAATTCAAAATTGTCTTGGTGAAACTTAGCCTGAGTCCAATTTTAGCATTTTCAGGAAAACTGTGGCATACTCATAGAGTATTCCCAGATGTATTATAATCAATCGAGAACCTCTGGGAAATTCATCTTACAAAAAAAAAGGAGTCAAAGAATTATATTTGTTTAACCTGGAAAGGAAAATATGTTAGGTGGAAACAGGCTGTTGCTAGCAGAAAGAAATGTCTATTATCTGCTTTCATAATGGCTAGGACACATAGCAAACATTTAAAATATATTCTGCTTCAACATTAGGGAGAGTTTTCTAGTAGCAAGGACAGTAGGGTCAAAAATAAATAGTTTTGTTGTCCAGCATCTGCCTGAAGAAGGATATTTAAGAACAGGCAAGGCACTGAGAAATGATGCAGCAAAAGCTGATTTTTCTTAGTGATACAAATTGGATAACCTCTTAAAATCTCCTCTAGCCCTACGATTCTGAATCTAAGATTATCTAAATCCTGTATTGTTCAACTTCTGTTGCCATGATCCCAGGATACCGTGACATTTTAGAAGCAATAATGACCTGAGCAGACTTCATTACTTTTCTCTCTAAATACTGAAGAACACCTCAACCTGCACACTCACTCTCTTTTCTTCTTTTTCCCCTCCTTCACCCTGCATTTCCACTAGTATAGTAATAAATAAAGATGTTGGTGAACTCATCTGTGCAGTGTTTCTGGCACTGGTAGGGGAAAGCCTGTATTGTTCAAACAAGTTAAAGATAAATAGAGCTTATCTGTTTTGAGATTCTTCATCCTTTCCCATCCGTTTCTGCCTTCTGTTTAAAAAGCATGTACCATAGCTGGTGATGACTCCGAGTTTGCACCTGACATGAGAAAACAATATCGTAAACTACATAATGCTGGTCTATCAGGACCTGAAGAGATTGCTAAGACTGCTTGCTGTATCTGTATGTCAAGCTTCAAGTAGCAGAAAGCCCTGGAGACAGGAGACAGATACAGTTTTAAAAGATCTTTGCAGTTCTTTATTTTCCTTTTCTGTTCATTTTCCTAAAGGAAGCAGTTCAAGGTTTTTAACTAAAGCTATAATATTGTATATCAGATAAATCTTACAACCTTTGCCTTCTATAATACTATCTAAGAGATTATCAAGTGTGGATGGGAAAAGGTCAGAAAAAGAAAAAAGAGGCATTACTGAAATAAAAGCTTACTTAATGGTTTACATTTCATGCTTCAGCTTTTTCCTTTTCCACTTAAGCCTTTCTTTTTTTTCAAATCACGATGACATGGAAACATGGCCCTTGATTCTGCACTAGAAATTGTTCTGGATGTAGCCTGTCACACAGTACAGGCTCATGCTTTTATCAAAACCTGAGACCAGAATCCCCACATCCCTGTATTCCTGCCTGACAAGATCAGTAGCGGGCAAGACCACGCTCATGAGGTCCACATCACTGCAGCATGAGGGAGAAGACATCTCAGAGGAATCTTGAGCCCTTTCACTGTTTTACCCAATTGTGTGACTACAGTGGTTGGGCATGAAATTGAAATTTGAACTTCACTTGGCTGGATGCCAAGCTGCTCTATCACTGCCTTTCCCAGCCGGACGAGAGAGAAAATAAGCTGGAAAAGTGACTCATATGTTGAGATAAGGCAGTTTACTAAAGCAAAAGTGAAAGTTTGTACACACACAAGCAAAGAGGATTATTCTCTACTTCCCATTAGTGAGCGGTGTTCAGCCACTTCCCGAGAAGCAGGGCTTCAGCACACATAGTGATTTCACAGCAGGCAGACATTGTAAACAGCAAATGCCCCCCCTTCCTGCTACTTTCCTTAGCTTTTATATCTAAGCTGATGTCATATGATATGGAATATCCCTTTGGTCAGTTTGGGTCAGCTGGCCTGTTTGTGCCCCCTCCCAGGATCTTGCCCTCGACTGGGAGGTGGGATGGAATGTTGAGAGACAGTGCTGATGCTTTGCCAGCACTGCTCAGCAGTAGCCAAAACATTTGTGTGTTATCAATACCTTTCCAGCTACCAGTGCAAAGCGCAGCATTGTGAGGGCTGCTACGGAGAGATGAACTCCATCTCAGCCAGACTCAATACAGTGTTGTGGTGAAGTACCTGGAATTTAGTGTTATGGGATTCCTTAGTTTCAATGGAAAAAGAGGAATTGCAATTAATAAGTTATGCACTAACAATGCATACAAGAAGAATTTCATGCATCATTTTGGAATTTTGGTAGCACCTTAGCATTAAAGCTAAAATAATGGGAGTGCAAATACACTGAGGTAGACAGCTTTCGTGGTCCAGAGAGACTGGCTAGAATGTGGAGGGAGATGGATTAAAAATCCACAGAGGAGAGCAAAATATGTACTCTACATCTTGAGACCAGTGATTCAACTGAAGCAAAAATAGATGTGAGAGAAAAAAATAATAAAATTATGTGTATTGAAGGATTCAAGACTAATGGAGATTATTAAAAACAGCTAATCAAGTTTTGAAGGAAGAGTTTCATATGAAATGCAAATCTGAAGTGTCCAAATTAAGAGAAATTAAACAACATGATTGATTTTAATTGCTAAGCAAATTGTTAGAAAGTGATTATAATAAGCATCTCTCATCAAATAAATGCTTAGCTTTAGCACAGCTCTTAGGCTGGGGAAAGGAATTTTCTCTTTTGATTCTTAAATATTCTGAAACAAGAGTACAATCCTGACTCTGTTCTTATCCAACAAAAGAATATAAACGGTGATATAAGGGGATATAATGAATTGCTTTTAATTTTCTTTAATTTGAGCTAGTCATCACTTTATAATAAGGGAGAATGTAAACTGCCATCAAAGGCACCACTTGACACCAATGTGAAAGATTTCCTGAGCTACTTAAAATCTAGGAACAACCTGTTATGGCTCTTACTGCTTTGCCTAATATGCTGTTGCTAACAAGGACCAG